TGCCTGTGCTGCCCGTGCCTGTTGCTGCCCGTGTCTCGTGCTCGCGCCCCCGTGCGCTCTGCTACTGTCTGCGCCCTCGTGCGCACTGTCCCCCCCCCCCCCCCCCCCCCCCCCCCGTTTGCGGGTGTGGGGGTGCTCCGTTTGTGTCGCCCCTTCCTTCTCCTCCTCCGTCGTCTCCCACTGCTGCAGCTGTCGCTGAGGGGGGTGGTTGTGTGGGAGACTGGGGTTTAGGGTTTAAGGGGGGTGCGTGGGAGTGGAGCTAGGGGTGTAGCAGCGGGTGTGTGTCAGGGGGGTGGGACTGTTTGTGGGAGGTTGAGCGGAGGCTGCCGTCTTGTAGTCCGCAGCACCTGTAGTCCGGGGCGCTGTCCTGGTAGCCCAGTGAGCCTGCTGCGCCTGTCGCCCGTGGGTCCGTTGCTCCTGCCGCTCTTCGTAGCCGCCGAGCCAGTTACTCCAGTAGTCCGGGGCGCTGTCCCGGTAGCCACTGTGCCAGCCGCTCCTGTTGCCCGTGTGTCTGCAGCTTCAGCAGTCGCCTCCCATCTCCTCTCCTCTCACTCTCCCTCCTCCTCCTCACCTGCCCGTTGTGACCACCACTAGCTTTGCTGATAATTGTGCACTTTAACTATTGCTTCTTGAACTTGTGCTCAGAATGTGTGGTGACATTGTGATCCACCCTGAGCTTGTACTGCTTTGCCTGCTCTGCTGATTTCACCCCACTTTGGCTATGGGGGTGTGTCAGAATATATTTGCTGTCTAGCCTGCAGTGGGGTACTCTGTAATGAGTACAACCCAATTTAGGGCAATGTACTTGTATCCCAACTCTTGCTAGTCACTCCCCTTCCAATTTCTCGACTCTCACCTAACCCACTCGAACTCACCTATCTCCTAGTGTGGGCCTAGGCTACTAAGCCTAGGCCCCACACCTAATATTTTCGACAAGGAAGCCTCCGAGGGTAAGCACAGGCTCTACGAAGGCCGCCCTAGCTATGCCGGCTTCTTTGGGCTAGCGGTAGAGACCTACGGGGCTCTGGCTAAGGACACGCAGCAGTTCATCCGTATGCTAGCCACCTATGCCGCCAAGACGAAGTACAGGAAGGGACGCCTCACGACGACCGCCGCCCGCCTTAATGCACACTTCAGGCAACGGTGGTCCGTGGTGCTCCAGCGCAGCCAAGCGATCTCCCTCCTCTCCAAGTCAAACCGAGCAGCGGAAGCGGCTTTCCCACAGATAGCGGCGGACCCTTGGGCACCTCGGCTAGGTGACCTATGGCAGACCTTGGAGGACGAGTACGAAGAGAGACACGCCCCTGCCAGGGCGGCCTGAGGGGTTGAGGGGGGCGGGGAGATAGGAACATGGTGACAGGAGGAGGATGGGTGGCGGCAAGGGAGGGTTACATGGGCGCAGTGAGAAGCAGGGGGGGGTGTGCTGGGCCGGTGTGGGTTAGAGGGAACAGGGACAAGGAAGGGCGTCTCAGGGAAGGTGCGAGGAAGCGGCGGGTCGGAGGAGGATAAGGGGAGGTTGTGTGGTATGGGAGGGACAGGGGACAGGTTGGGCGGCTCTGAGAGTTAGGGGTGCTTTAGGATGGTTGGGCTTGCTCTATTTGCTTGTTTAATTCTGGTTCCCTGGCTGCTCCAATACCTAGGCCAGCTAGTTACCACCACCTGCCATGCCTGTACGTTGTGACCCATATAAATGCATGACTGCTTGAGAGATAGATAGATAGAGAGAGAGAGAGAGAGAGAGAGAGAGAGAGAGAGAGAGAGAGAGAGAGAGAGAGAGAGAGAGAGAGAGAGAGAGAGAGAGAGAGAGAGAGAGCGCATTCGGCTGGTTTGTTGGATGGCAGACCGCCAAACGGGATGGAGGGTACACAAGCAAGCAGTACACGACTTACAAAGAAGAGGTGAAAAAAAAAAAAAAAAAAAAATCAAAAGGTGGGAACGAAGAGACCTTCTGAAGTCATTGATTGACCATGATATTAACCACCCAAATCTGCCCCACCCTGGCTACCTTCCTATATGCAGTGGCGGGATGTGAGGGGACCGACATGGAGTGGGATCCATACGAGTACGCAATCACGGACGATGCAGTGACGGTTATGCGCAACCGGTTGCGAACCCGGCTACACTGGTGGCTATCATGGTGCGAGAGCAGTTTTATCACCTCAATCATTGCAAGAGGCTACTGTTTGCCATGGAAGAACATAGAACCCCTGCCATTTGAGGCAACAAACCACGCCGGGGTCCACGCACATAAGGCGTTCACGCGAGATGCCATTCGCGATCTCGTATCCTCGGGCGCCGCACTGAAGGTCGCATCAAGGGCCACACTCTCCTGCATAAGGCCACTTAATGTGGTGGTACAACGCGACAAGTGTCGACTTATCCTCGACCTACGGAAAGTCAATCAACACCTTCAAGTCCCCAAACTCAAGTACGAAGGACTGAATCGGGTCTCGGAACTAATTCGTTGCAACGATTGGATGTTCACAATCGACCTTAGGTCCGGATACCACCACGTCGAGATGCACCCCTCGTGCTGGAAGTTCCTGGGTTTCCAGCTTGATGGGGACTTCTACTGCTTCCGATCTTTGCCTTTCGGCCTGGCGACAGCACCTTTCGTCTTCACCCAGCTAATTAAACAACTGGCTAGAAGATGGCGCGCACGTGGCATCCGCATGGTCCCCTACGTGGACGACATGTTGTTCTTGTGCAACTCCGAGAAGAAGGCACGAGCGACGCGCATAGAAGTGCTACACGACCTCGAGGCAGCTGGCTTTGTGATCAATGCAAAGAAGTTGCACCTCCACCCGTCGCGCCAACTACGCTTCTTGGGGTTGGAGCTCGACACCATATCTGAAATGTTTCGTGTCGGAGCTGAATGGCGTGAGCAGCTCCTGCAGACACTCCAGATGCTCATCTCCAAGGGACACCGCGGCCAACAGGTTCCCATTCGGCACATAGCCCGTATCACCGGAATGCTGAGTTCTATGGCACTCGCACTGGGCACAACAGCGCGTGCCTTCAGCCAGGAATTGCTACAGCTGATCAATACAACAACATCTTGGCACTCCAAGGTTCAACTGCCACTAGCTGCAGTAGAAGAGTTAATTTTCTGGCAAGCGCACTTCGACCAATTTAACGGTGGCCGGTTCCACATTAGTCACCTATTCGATGCGGTCATCCACGTAGATGCCAGCGGACACAGCTGGGGTGCAACACTGACCAAGTTTGCCGGTAAATCTTGTGACGCAAGCGCTTGCATGCCAAGCGCGCTCCTCCAAACCTCCAGCACCCTACGAGAGCTTGAGGGAGTCCTGTGGGAACTAAAGACATTCGCAACCTAGATCATGAACGACCATGTCCTCATCCGCGTAGACAACCAATGAGTCATGTTCATCCTGCGCAAAGGGGGGTCAAGCCAACCCTGGCTAACAAGGACATGCCAAGCAATCATACAATCTGTCTCTAAAATCGCTCCCGCCTGGCGATTGAATGGATTCCGGGGGAGCTAAATGCCCACGCTGATGAACTCTCCAAGATCCAAGATATTGACGATTACTCCTTGCATGTTCCCTGGTTTCGCCTCCTGGAACGCCGATGGGGACCCCCATACGATTGACTTGTTCACAAATGTCCACAACAAGAAAGTGGAACGTTTTTTCTCCAAAATACCACATCCAGACACCATCGCCATCGACGCCTTCTCGATCTCTTGGAACGGTGAACGTTGCTTTGCATTTCCACCCCCCAACCCGATCTCGTCGACGCTTAGTTACGCGAAGCGTATGCAGACCGAGATGACGCTGATTGTGCCCCAGAGACATGGAGCAGCATGGTGGTCACTACTACATCCATCGCCACCGATATGGGCCCCAGAGGTGGTGGCTCACCTACCACTCACCCACGCAAGTCAATGCATCAAACCAGGCTCTCATGCAGCAGCATTCTCTGGACTCGGAATGCCATATAGCCCAATAATTGCATTGCATGTAAAATATATGTAAGAAATATACATCGTACTTAACCATGACCCTGTGTATCACTGTTCAGGACTATTGCCCAAGCTCAAACAACAGTTGTTGAGAGTCATGCATAACGTCCGCGCACCGTCTACGATCGAGATGTACCAGCCATACTGGCAGAAATTCAGAAACTTCTGTGTTCAAGTCAAGAACACGTTCCTGCCAGCGACAGACTTGACGTTAGCACTCTACCTCATCCACGCGCTGAACAACAAGGCAACCATCTCAGCAATCAGTCTCACGTGTTATGCGGTGGCATTCGCCCATCGGATGACAGGCAAAACCTCCCCCACTAGCGGCCCACTCACCCTGCAAGTGAGAGAGTTTGCCAAACGACAAGGTCCTCGGCCCACAATGACCAAGGAGCCAGTGTCACTTCACCAGGTGCATGACATGGCATGACCCTTCCTTGAATCAGCAGTCCCATAAAAAGGGTTTGATCCCTTTGCTCATGTTCGCAGCATTCTTGCGCTACTCCGACCTCATCTCCCTACAATGGAATGACATACAGTTCGAGGAAGAGGCGATGTGGCTCCTCATCCCATACTCCAAGACATGCTAAGAAGGAAGGGGCACCTGGATCCCGGTGGTGGCGACTACAAGGCCCTACTATGCAGTCAGATGCACAAGGAATTTCATTCGACTCGCAGGCCTTGCTAAGACGCCGCACGGGCCGCTGATACGAGTGTTTACCAAAGGGGCACAAGAGACACCACACGACAAGTCACCCTCTTACCCAACCATCAGAAATTGGTGCCTCGAGGCTTGCAGCAAGGCGGGACTGGATGCCACGCACATCGGGACCCACTCCTTCAGGAAGGGTGCAGCGACAGTAGCAGCCAGCCTCGGCGTTCCTGATCGGCTCTTCAAACGCATGGGCCGATGGCGAAGCGATGGCGCAAAGGAACTCTACGTTACAATTGTTGGAGTAGGCTAGAGCTCGCTTTGGTCTTTATTTTGGTGTTCTTAAATTATTTCTCTATGCTTAGAGAGCGTTATGCATTCAGGTTCATTTTAGGTTTATTTTATAGCTTTTAGTACAAACCGAACACACCCTAGGTTCAATTAGGGTTTCCAACCATCTCTATTTTGTACCTCGACATTTCTCTTCCTAGTTCAACTTTTTTCGACCCTACCTAACTTTCTCGCCATCCATGGCTCCTCTCATCTTAACATGGTATTCAGAGCGTAGTCCTAGGCGTTTCATATTCATCCGCATTTCTTAGATGATCTCCGGCCCTTAGGCTGTTTTCCGCGCTACTTAGCTAGACGATTTTTTTTTTTTTTTTTTTTTTCCCTTTCCTCTCGTTTCTTTCCCGTCACTCTTAGCATCCGCGCGGTTCTCTTCGTTATACTCGTTCGGGTGCCCTAATCTAGTCCGAAGCGTGCCTCCCTGCCGTTCGGATCATCCGTCCGCACCTTCCCTCTTCATCCCGCTTCCTCCTCCTCACGCTTCGGACGGTAGCACGGCGATTTCCGCCTGTAGCGCGCTCAGCCGTCCCCTCCCCCCTCCCTGTCTTGTCCCGCGCGCATTGCGCTCCTGCCGCCGTGCGCGCTAAGCACCGTCCAGCAGCGCGCGTGCCTGCCCTTCCTTGCGGTGCGCTCTGCCCTTCCTCAATCCGCCCCTTCCCTCACCCTCCTCCTCCTTCCCTCTCTCCTTTGTGCTTCCCCCAATACCTCACCTCTTCCTCCTATTTTCTCTCCCCATCTGCTACGGCTCGTAGCTCCTTGTGGCGCGCCCTGCCCTTCCCACAATCCGCCCCTTCACCCTCCTCCTCCTCCCCTCTCCCCCACTAGTTCTTTCTCCACTATCTCACCCCTCGTCCACCTCTTTTCTCTCTTCATCTGCTGCAGCTGGTAGCTGATTGTGTTGTGTAGCTGTTGTTCCTCCACACCTTCCCTCCTCCTCAACATCCTCCTCTCAATAGCTCAACTGCACACTCTTCCCAATTCTCCCTCCTCCTCTTGTTTCTCTCTTCAGCGGCACAGCAGCAGACTTCTTCGCCGCTATCCCTCCTACTCTGGTTTCTCCCCTCATCGGCGCAGCAGCACACTACTCCGCCATTTTCCCTCCTCCTCTGGTTTCTCCGCTCATCGGCGCAGCAGCAGACTACTTCGCCATTTTCCCTCCTCCTCTGGTTTCTCCCCTCATCGGCGTAGCAGCAGACCACTTCGTCATTTTCCCTCCTCCTCTGGTTACTGCCCGCATTGGCTCGGCAGCTGACTACTCCGCCACTTTCCCTCCTCCTCTTCTTTCTCCCATCAGCGGCTCAGCAGCAGACTACCCCGCCCTTATTCCTCCGCCTCTTATACCTCTCCCCACATCTGCTCTTCAGCTGTTTCCTCCTCCTCATGGCGACCTCTCTCGCCCTCCCCTCCCTCCCTCTGCTGGTCCTTCAGCTTGCGCCCGATGGCAGTGCAGTCAACTTCCCCAGTTGGCTGAACTGTCTTGAGCGCACGCTGTCTGGCACCCTTGTGAGTGGCTTTAACCTACGGTTTGTCACTCAGCAGAGTGGTTCTGGCGCCATTCCCACCTCTCCCTCTGGACCCACCTCTTCCTCCTCTGACCCCTATGCTGATGGCCTCCGTGCTGCCATTGCTGAAACTGAGCGGCTTGTGACCACGGCGCAAGCCACCGCCACGGCTGCTCCTGACAATGCTGCTGCCCGTGACTTAGCTCGTATTCTTGCTGAGTCCCTCGAGAGCACCCGCAAGCACCTCACTGAGCACCTCGCTGCCCCTTCTCCTCGCTCTGCATCTACGCCCATTTCCTCTGCTCCATCTCACTCTGATCTTCTCGCTGACTGGCATGTTGCCAACGCACGTGCTTGTCAGGTCATCCTTGCTTGCCTCCCTCCAACTCTTCTCCCTCAGTGCTCGCACATCCGCTATGCCAAGGACCTTCTTGGCTATCTTACCGAGCGCTTCCAGACGCAGACTCCTATCCATGTCATTGCCCTCTTACGCGAGCTCACCTCTCTTCGTCTTGCTGACTTCACCACCATGGCGGACTACATCACTCGTGTGCAGATGCTGTCCTCCCAACTTGCCTCTCAAAAGTTTGAACTTTCCGATCATGTGTGCGGTGCCCTCCTCCTCACAGGCCTCACTCCTGAATACAGTGTTCATGTCACTCTGTATGGTGAGCGCCCTGTCGACCAGTGGTCGTTCTCTCGTGTCTCTGCCTTCCTCCTCTAGGCAGAGCTCAACCTCCGCAGCTGCCCTCCTACTGCCGCCGTTGTCACACCCTCTTCCGCCCTCCCCCCCCCCCCTCTCTCCCCACCTCCACTGCCGCCGCTGCTCCCTCTCGCCCTCGCAACACCTTTCCTCCTTGCACCTACATCATTCGCCAAGGGCCCCGCAAGGGTCAGCCCTGCGGTCGCACCAATCATCCCGCCTCCTCCTGCTTCCAGAAGCTCACCGATGACTGGTTCCTGGCTGGCAACACTGGTCGCCTTCCCAACTGGCTTCAACTCTCTCGTCAGCGTTGCCAGTCTTCTGCCCAGGCGGTACTTGTGGCTGCCGACTCTGGTACCAGTGCTCAAGCCTCTGCTCTCAATGTGACTATGCCTAATCAGGATAGCATTCTGGGGGCTTCTCCCCTTATGGACCCTCGTTTTGCCATGATGCTTGCTCCCTCTGTTAATGGCAATGATTCTCAGTATCTTCGTCCCACAGCTGCTGCTCTTTCTTTCCCTCACACTCTTGAGTTTGTTCTTGACAGTGGTGCCACTGACTCTATTTTTCGTGACGCTGGTGTGCTTCGCTCTTTTCCCCATCCCCTCTCCATTCAAGGAGCTGGGGATACCATGACCATGACTTGCACTGCTACCTCCTCTCTTCCCTGTCCTGCCTCCCCCTCTGGTGCTCTGACTGGCCTCTATGTCCCTTCCTGCCGCCACAACCTTCTCTCTCTCTTTGCTCTTCAACGTCTTTGTGTGCGAGCTATCTTTCCTGAATGTGACTCCTATTGTGATCTCTATCATCGCAGCCGCCATCTTGCACGCTTTACTCTTTCCCCTATCACTCGCCTCTACAGTCTTTGTATCTCTCTCCCCCCTTCTGCCCATCATGCCTCTTCCGCTTCCGCCCCTCCCGTTTCTTCTTGCGATTGTCGTTCTCTCACTCAGCCTACCCTTCTCCTCCATCATCGGCTTGGCCACCCCAATTTTCCCCTTCTTTGCAGTATGGTCTCCTCCAAGCTTCTTCATGGCCTCCCTTCCTCTCTCCCCCCCCTTCCTCCCTCTCCTGCTCCTCCATGCACCCCATGTGTCCAGGCCAAATTATCCCAGTCACCCCATCCCTCTTCTCCCTCTGCCTCTCCCCAACCCCTTGACCTGGTTCATATGGACCTCTGGGGTCCTTCACCTACTGCTTCTCGTCAGGGTCATTGCTACTTTCTGCTTTTGGTTGATGACCACTCACGATTTGCCACTATCCATCCCCTTCGTGCCAAATCTGACGCTCCCTCCCTCATCATTCGTTGGGCTGAACAGGCTCGTCTACGCTTTAAGTGTCCTGTCACGCGCTTCCACTCGGATGGTGGTGGCAAATTCTTTCATTCTCTCTCCTCTTACTGTGCCTCTCATGGCATCTGCCAGACCTCCACTCTTCCTCACTCACCAGATCAGAATGGGGTTGCCGAGCGTCGCAATCGCACTCTCATGGAAATCACTCGCTGCCTTCTCACCCATGCCTCTGCTCCCCACTCTCTTTGGAGCTATGCTCTCCTCCATGCCACTCTACTCTCTAACCTCTGCCCTCATCCTCTTTGCCCTACTACCACCCCCTTCCAGCTTTGGACTGGCCGCCAGCCCTTTGTTTGCCCTCTTCGGGTCTGGGGGTGTGTCACCCATGTTCTTGTCAATCTAGCAGACCAGTCCCGTCAGGGTGGGAAACTCGCTCCCAAGACGCAGCTCTGTGCATTCCTTGGCATCAACTCTGACTGTCTTGGCTATCTTTTCTATGCCCCTTCCTCTCACCAACTCATCTGCAGCCAGGACGTCATTTTCGATGAGACTCAATCCCCATTCCATTCCCCCCCACCCGCCCTTCCTGTCCCCTCTCTTCACTGGTCTAATTTCGATCAGCCGCCGACTGTCCTTCCCTCCCCTCCCCCCCCCCCCCCCTCCTATCCCGCCCCTTCCCACCCCTCCCTCAGCACCAGCCTCTAGTGCCCCCCCTTCCGACATCATCTCTGGCACCTCCCCACCCGCCTCTTCCTCTTCGGCTCCCCTCCCTTCCTCACTTCCATCTTCCTCTCCACCTCCTTCGGCTGTTCCCATTCCCCCCCCCTTCCCCACGCCTTACTCGCTCCATGACTCGCGCACTTTCTAATTTTCAGCACTCTGCTCTTTTCATTCGTCTTTCTCCATCTCAGAATGTTACTCTTCTTGAAGATCGCTTTGAGGAGCTCTTCAATATTCATCCTGTTTCTCCTCTCCTGTGTGTCACCATTGGTGACTTTAGCAATTCTCCCACTCTTCTCTCTGTCGACACCGCTGCCATCCCCACCCCTCACTCCTAGTCCAAGGTTGTGTCGGGCTTTCATGCCACTGAGTGGATGGCTGCCATCATTGCTGAGTGTGAGGCATTCACCAGGACTAAATCATACATTGACTCTGTCCCCCCCCTCTGGCGCCACCATTGTCAAAGGCAAATGGGTCTTCCGTGTCAAGCAGTTGCCCAACAAACTTCGTGTCTTCAAGGCCCACTACTGTGCCAAGGGGTTCACTCAGCGTGAAGGCATTGATTACTTTGCCACTTACTCCCCCACAGCCCGTCTCCCCACCCTTTGCCTCCTTCTTGACTTAGGTGCTCGCTGGAATTGGGAGATCCAATCTTGTTGCTGCTTGCTGAGGACTCCGCCGATCTTGTAGCTGTCAAGAAGGCCCTGCACGCGCGTCTCCTGTGCGAGGACCTTGGCGAGCTTCGTCACTACCTCGGCATGGAGATCCGTTGTGATCGTGCTGCCCGCACCATCTCTCTCTCCCAGTCTTTCTATATCCAGTCCATCCTCTAGCGGTTTCAGATGTCGCAGGCCAAGCCGGTCTCCACCCCTCTTCCCGCTAACCATCAACTAACTGCCCCTGCCATCCCTGCTCCCTCCTCTGAGTTGCGGCCTTATCCTGAGCTCGTTGGATCTCTCATGTATGCTATGATGTGCACTCGCCCCGACCTTGCTTACCCCTTCAGTGTTCTCTCTCGCTTTGCTGGTCTTGGCCGCCACACTGACGTGCACTGGGCAGCTTCTAAGCGCGTCCTGCGCTATCTGCGTGCCACCTCTGACCTTGCTCTCACTCTTGGTGGCTCTGTTCCTCCCGTTCTCTCCGGCTTTAGTGACTCTTCCTATGCTGACTCCCGCCCTCATCGCCGCTCATCTCAGGGCTATGGTTTCACTCTTGGCAGTGGTCTCATAAGCTTGCGCTCTACTCGCTCATCCTCTGTCTGACTTTCCACCTGTGAGGCTGAGTTGTACGCAGGCACCTTGGCAGCTCAAGAGGCTCGCTGGCTCTCCTTTCTCCTTGCTGAGCTTGGTCACTCTCAGTCCTCTGTGACGCTCTCTTGTGACAGTGCCAGCATGATTCATCTCACTGAAAATCCTGACTATCACGCCAGCAGCAAGCATATCGAGGTCCACTATTTCTTTGTGCGCGAGCTGGTGCATTCTGGTTTCTTACGTCTGCGCAAGGTGGATGCTGCTGCCAACCTTGCTGACATTTTCACCAAGGCCCTTCTGCGTGCGCCACACCGTTTCTACGTGCACGAGCTTGGGCTCATGCGTCTCTCCTTCTCTGGGGTGTGCCGGCTCGCTAGGTGTTTTGCTCCAGAGCTTCACCTAGCCTGGAGGTGTGTTGGAGTAGGCTAGAGCTCGCTCTGGTCTTTATTTTGGTGTTCTTATATTATTTCTCTATGTTTAGAGAGCGTTATGTGAAAGAACGAGGAAACTGAACGAACTAGCAAGCAGGTGGTTACAAGTAGGAAAACCGAAAAGTGTTGTACCCCATATTGTCTACCCCACTACAGCCTACACAGACTATAGCATATGAGTTTGACACACCCCCATAGGCAAAGTGGGGGAGAACAAAAGGTCACAAGACCAGTCAAGCAAAGCAAAGAAAGCTCAGGGTGGATCACAACGTCACCACACATTCCGAGCACAAGTTCAAGGCCAGTTCACATGCAAGATCATATAAAAAGGTAAACAAGCAAGTGCAGGTATAGAAAGATCACAGTACAAGCAAATTCAAGAGGTGAGCAAGTGAGGCCAGATAGGCACAAGACCTAGCATCGTACAGCAGCGCTGATGATCACAAGGCGGAAGTGCCTTGGTAAAGATATCAGCAGTGTTGGCCTCAGAGGCCACGTAAGCAAGGCGCAGCTGACCACGCTGCTGCAGCTCACGAGCAAGGAAGTAGCGAAGAGCAATGTCCTTCGTTCTGTGCTCCAGTCTGTGCTCCCGACACAAGACCAGCATGGCCTTGTTGTCTACGTATAGAACTGGAGGAGAACGAGGCGGCTCTCCTAGGTCAGTCAGCAGGTAGGTGAGCCAGCGTAGCTCCTGTGCAGCCATGGCCCCCGCGTAGATCTCGGCCTCACAGCTGGAGCCGAGAACAGAAGATGAGCAGGTAGACCGCCACGAAACAGAGCCGGAACCAAGGCTGAAGGTGTAACCCTGTGACGACCACTGCGTAGCCTGGTCGTCAGCCCAAGAAGCGTCTGCGTGACCTGTGAGGACCACTGAACGTCGCCCTCCAAGCACTAGCCCCATGCCCGACGTACTGCACAAGTAGCGCAACACCCTCTTCGCTGCAGCCATGTGCTCTGGTCGGTGTCTCCCAGGAGCAACATGGCATGCCAAGATGCTAAGAGGGTATGCAAGGTCAGGTCGTGTGCAGGTCATCAGGTACATGAGGCAGCCAACAAGCTCTGGGTACGGGCCACTCGGCTCTACGGACTCATCCGAAGGCAGAGCTGAGAGCGAGTGGCGAGTAGACAGAGGAGTGGCCTGAGGCGAGGAGTACGTGAAGTCGAAGCGCTGAAGGACCTGCTGCACCATGTGTGACTGAATCAGGGTAATGGTGTGCTGTGCTCTGTCCCGGGTGATCTGCAAGCCAAGGTAGCTGCGCAGTTCACCCAGGTCTATGCACGTGTGTCTCTTCTGCAGTCCGGACTTCATGTGGGCGGGTTCAGCAGTG